TTATTAAGCTTGTGATCTACCAGAACCCCCAGATTTATTATTATTATACAGGATTTATATAGCGCCAAGAGTTTGCGCAGCGCTTTACAAAATGAAGGTAGACATTACAGTTACAATACAATTTGGTACAAGAGGAAACAGAGGGCCCTGCTCGTTAGATCTTACAATCTAGGAGATCCTCCTCCACCATTGACCCCCCCTAGTATGTATGATGCATGCATATTCTTAGCCCCCCAAGTGCAGAACTTTACATTTATCAAAACTAAACCTCATTTGCCTCATATTTGCCCAATTAAACAGTGCATTGAAGTCGGCTTGTTAGTTTGAGACATCCTGTAAGGACATTATTCCACTGCACAGCTTGGTGTCATCTGCAAAGACTGAAATGGGATTTTTAATCCCAGACCCTATATTGTTTATAAATATATTAAAATGTAGCACACTTGAAATGAACTCTGGACCTTTTATCTGCTCATTGTAATTGGGATAATGAGGGAATAACACACACCTGGCCATGGAACAGCTGAGAAGCCAATTGTCCCATTACTTTTGGTCCCTTAACAAGTGGGAGGCAAATACGCAAACTGTTGTAATTCCTACACCGTTTACCTGATTTGGATGTAAATGCCCTAAAATTAAAGCTGACAGTCTTCAGTTAAAGCACATCCTGTTCGTTTCATTTCAAATCCATTGTGGTGGTGTATAGAGCCAAAAATGTTAGAATTGTGTCGATGTCCCAATATTTATGGACCTGACTGTAGTAGTGTAAGATCAGTCAGCAGCAGAACAATTTGAATGAGGGAGAATTGCTTGAAATGGAATAGCGAAAAAGATTACAGGCAGGTATTGTATTGCAAGAATACAGTGCCTTGAAAAAGTATTCATACTCCTTGTCATGTTTCCCTCTCTAGATGTGCAAAGCTGGTAGACGCATACCCAAAAATACTGGCAGCTGTAATTGCAGTGAAAGGTGGTTCTACAAAGTATTGACTCCGGGGGGCTGAATACAAATGCCACCACACTTTTCAGATATTTATTTGTAAACAATTTTGAAAAACATTTATTATTTTCCTTCCACTTCACAATTACTGTATGTTCCACTTTGTGTTGTCTATTACATAAAATCTCAACAAAATACATTTACGTTTTTGGTTGTAACATGACAAAACGTGCAAAATTTCAAGCAGTATGAATACTTTTTCAAGGCACTGTAAGAGACAGCAGATGGCATAACAGTGTAAAAATGTCCAGCAGGAGAACAATAGTGCATAGCAGAGCTAAGCCCAAGTTTACAAAAACAAAAAGGCTGGGGCTTTACTACAAGAAATAAGATACTGCAGAGGATACAGCAGTGTAAAACTGGCCAGCAGCAGCAGATTTTTATTCAAGGATAATAGGCCTAACCAGTGTATGTCTAACTTTTGTTTTATCTATGGGGATATAATGTGAGGTGATTTGGGTGCACACTGCTCTAGAAATTAGTTTTTTTTTTTTTTCACTGGTATGCTGTGAACAAGAAGTAGCTCCATGAAAATATGTTCAAGTGAATGCAGTTCTTAGAGCACCCTAAACTTTAAAATAACACACTATCAACAGAAAAATAAAAACCCCAAAGTACAATTCCTTATACAAAAAAAAAAAAATCACTTTTTTGGAAGGAAAAGTAACTTCGACCTACAATAAAAAGCAATATACCCCTCACATACTGTATATATAAAATACTAAATAATACTAAATACAATTTTGAAGTGTGCTGTGGATGGGACAGAACCTAAAAGTTACCATTTACCTCAAACCAACAGCAAATAAAATTAAATGCAACAAAAGGCAACAAAGGGGTTAATTGCTGAAAGAGCTAGCAATCAGAATTAAAATACAGCTTGCTAACTAACCATAATTTCTCCTTACACAGTTTGAATTGTCAACATTCCCAGTGGATTCTCTACAACTGTTTCCAATACACTGACACTATGCCCCCCGTTTATAGTAAGGGGACTGGCTTACCCAAACCCTTCTAATTGGCCTTTCTAAGCCTGCTGGCCATAGTTCAAATACAATGGTTTAAAAAAACATATTGGTGCAAATCTTAAATTCCCTAGAATCATGAGCCCATGGTAGCAGCAAACCTGACCCTCATCCATGCCTTTCACCTGCGTGCAGTTTTCTTAACAACAAAAAATCTCTTTCAAATTGACAATGCTTGACGTACCACTTTTTACACAATAAACTGCCTATAGGAACACTTTTTTTTTTTTACAGAAATGCAAGTGTTCTGTGATTGGATGAATGTCACAATCTCCCATCCTCCAATTACAGAATACCTTGCATTCACTGAAAAGAATTTAAGGGTTTTTTTTATGAATGGAGGAGGTGCCAAGTGTGCGACCTACAGTGATCATGGTACTGCAGCTGGGACAGCGGGGACTACAAATCTCAGCACTGACCGTTCGGTGCCCACAGGTGACTGCGATTTGAGTGAAAGTATGAAATGTAACAAGTGTTGCTGCAGCAGCTAGAAATACATCATTAAAACTAACTTATTTTTGCTGTGCAAATAGCCAACAATTAATTTTGGACATACTTCAGCTTTAAAACTGGCCTCCACATAGCGAATCAACAGGGATGTACAGTTTATGAAAAACCCTAATGAAGATGCGTATGTGAAAATATCAAGGCCACCATAAATATTCCATTCAAGTGCACTGCTGACAAAACAATATCATCCCAAAGAGCATACCATATGTCTTACTGTATAGCCCCAGCTACGGCATATCATCCCACGCTCAAGAGTTCACCTTGACCTGCCGGATCCAGTTTTTTTTATAGTTGATTAGATTATAATGTCAGACTTTTGCAACGGCTTTGTGTTAAGAGTAATAGGAACAAAGGTAAAAGACAGTTCAGCCGCTCCTGTTATCACTGCATTGTGAATTAACAAATAAACGAAAAGTTACCACTGCCTCATGTTTCCAAACAAATCAAAATCTTCTGTTTCACTAGGGCTTCTTCTCGGAGTATTATGGAAGGGGCATTGCCTCCTACAGAACAATTTCATCCCTCAGCACAGAGGCGTATTTACCACAAGGCAAAAAAGGCATTTGCCTAGGGCAGAAATTTTTTTTGGGGGGCAGCACCACCCCCTGGAAGAAGGGATGGTAAAAGGGACACACGCGACATGGGAACCAGGTGGGATCAGAGAGAGGTGGTGGGCTGCTTGACAGTGTATGCAGAGCCCAACTCTCATTCCTGGATATGTCCATAGCTGTGAAGGTGAGTGTCTTTCTCTCTCTCGCTGGGGAGGAGGGGGTTGGTGACCGGTGTATGGGAGGCGGTGGTATTGGAAGGCTCTCCTGGGTGGGGGAACAGACAGGGGTGTTGCTGGTCAATGTCAGGCTCTCTCTGTGAAGGATGGGGGAGGGAAGTTTTGGTTGGTGTCTGGAACTCTCTGCTGGGGTTGGGGGGGGGGGGCTGTCTTTAATTTTTTGTGTTGCCTAGGACAGCGCAAAACCTAAATACACCACTCTCCAGCAGGATGGGGCAGCAAGGTCCACTGTGGGGAAACTGCCTGTCCACAACAACCCAGCATTTGGCTTTAGAGGAAAGGGATGAGGACTGCTGCAGTTATGTGTAGTCACCTCTAGCATAATTCCATTTATTTTAAACCACCTCAGTGTTCTAATGAGGAAAGTGGCAGCCCTTTAGTAGCCAAGCCTTAGGGTGTATCTCACCAAAGAAGAAATTCCTACTGCAGGGTGTTGGAATACAGTGTTCATGTATTTTGTGCAACAACTACATCAGTATTCAGAAAATATATATTCTTCAACCAGTAGATGGCAGTGTCTAAACATTTGTAGCTGCATCTATGATATGTACTTTATTGTCTTTTCTCTGAAATAAAGTTTCCTGTTTTCTCATTGCAGTGAATGAAACAGAAAAAGACCTGTGCACTGTCTGTTCTGTAGGGCTATATACAGAATCTGTAACACAGGGGATGCCAAAGATGTTACTTTTATCTTAATGAAGACTTCTGGGAAAATCAGTAAGGAAAGCACAGAAGCAGGAAATTACATTTCTATGGCATTTAGTACACCAAATGTGTACAGAACTCCACCAGGTTGCCATAGTGAACCGAATTATTTTATGATAGTTTTAGAAAAATTCAGATTGAATATACAGTGGAAGTGTAAACTTTAATAACAGCTTTTGTAGCAATTTTATATTTTTTTTAAAACAATGGTAGAGTTTTTAAGATTGACCTTAACACTTAAAGTGGAAAGCAAATCAAAACCTAACTAAGCTTAAAGTGTTACTAAACCCCGGACCCTGCATTCACTATATCTGGTCTCCCAGGACCCTGCATCCACTATATCTTTTCTCCCCGGACCCTGCATTCACTATATCCACTCTCCCTGGACCCTGCATTCAGTACATCTGGTCTCCCCAGACCCTGCATTCACTATATCCGCTCTCCCTGGACCCTGCATTCACTACATCTGGTCTCCCCAGACCGTGCATTCACTATATCTGGTCTCCCTGGACCCTGCATTCACTATATCCACTCTTCCCGGACCCTGCAGTCACTATATCAGGTCTCCCTGGACCCTGCATTCACTATATCCGCTCTCCCTGGACCCTGCATTCACTACATCTGGTCTCCCCGGACCCTGCATTCACTATATCTGGTCTCCCTGGACCCTGCATTCACTATATCCGCTCTCCCCGGACCCTGCATTCACTATATCTGGTCTCCCCGGACCCTGCATTCACTATATCCGGTCTCCCTGGACCCTGCATTCACTATATCTGGTCTCCCCAGACCCTGCATTCACTATATCTGGTCTCCCCGGTCCCTGCATTCACTATATCCGGTCTCCCCGTACCCTGCATTCACTATATCTGGTCTCCCCAGGCCCTGCATCCACTATATCCGGTCTCCCCGTACCCTGCATTCACTATATCTGGTCTCCCCAGACCCCGCATTCACTATATCCGGTCTCCCCGGACCCCGCATTCACTATATCTGGTCTCCCCGGACCCTGCATTCACTATATCTGGTCTCCCAGGACCCTGCATCTACTATATCTGGTCTTCCTGGACCCTGCATTCACTATATCTGGTTTCCCTGGACCCTGCATTCACTATATCTGGTCTCCCAGGACCCTGCATTCACTATATCCGGTCTCCCTGGACCCTGCATTTACTATATCCGCTCTCCCCGGACCCTGCATTCACTATATCCGCTCTCCCTGGACCCTGCATTCACTATATCTGGTCTCTCCAGACCCTGCATTCACTATATCTGGTCTCCCTAGACCAGCAATGGGCAAACTACGGCCTTTTAATCCGGCCCGCGGAGCGTGGCAAACATCGGCTGTCAGAATGTGTGTAGGCGGGGCAGCGTGAGGAACGTGAAGGGAGCTAGGCTCCTCTCACAGTCCCCCCTGAAGACCGGAACGGCGCGGGAACACGGCGAGATGAATGCGCGGAGCAAAGGTAAGTGAATTGACACAGGGGGGACTTGGCTTACTACTTGGGGGGGAATAGTACTGTGGGGGATGAAATACTATATGAGGGATGAATTAATATGGGGGATGAATTAATATGGGGAATAAATTACTATAGGGGGGATGAATTACTATAGGGGGGATGAATTACTATGGGGGATGAATTACTATATGGGGGATGAATTACTATATGGGGGATGAATTACTATATGGGGGATGAATTACTATGGGGGATGAATTACTATATGGGGGATGAATTACTATGGGGGATGAATTACTATATGGGGGATGAATTACTATTGGGGATCAATTACTATATGGGGGATGAATTACTATATGGGGGATGAATTACTATATGGGGGATGAATTACTATGGGGGATGAATTACTATATGGGGGATTAATTACTATGCTTACTATGGGGGAATATTACTATACTTACTATGGATGACACATACACATCATTCATCTACTCTTGGTCCGGCCCCCGGGTCCAATATATGAACCCATTGCGGCCCTCAAGTCAAAAAGTTTGCCCACCCCTGCCCTAGACCCTACATTCACTATATCTGGTCTCCCAGGTCCCTGCATTCACTATATCTGGTCTCCCAGGACTCTGAATTCACTATATCTGGTCCCCTCAGACCCTGCATTCACTATATCTGGTCCCCTCAGACCCTGCATTCACTATATCTGGTCCCCCCGGACCCTGCATTCACTATATCCGCTCTCCCCGGACCCTGCATTCACTATATCCGGTCTCCCCGGACCCTGCATTCACTATATCCGCTCTCCCCCCGGACCCTGCATTCACTATATCCGCTTTCCCTGGACCCTGCATTTACTATATCTGGTCTCTTCAGACCCTGCATTCACTATATCTGGTCTCCCAGGACTCTGCATTTACTATATCTGGTCTCCCCGGACCCTGCATTCACTATATCTGGTTCCCCCGGACCCTGCATTTACTATATCTGGTCTCCCCGGACCCTGCATTTACTATATCTGGTCTCCCCGGACCCTACATTCACTATATCTGTTCACCCCGGACCTGCATTCTCTATATCTGGTCTCCACAGACCCTGCATTCTCTATATCTGGTCTGCCCGGACCCGGCATTCACTATGTCTGGTCTCCCAGGACCCTGCATTCACTATATCTGGTCTCCCAGGACCCGGCATTCACTATCTCTGGTCTCCACGGACCCTGCATTCACTATATCTAGTTTCCCAGGACCCTGCATTCACTATCTCTGGTCTCCACGGACCCTGCATTCACTATATCTAGTTTCCCAGGACCCTGCATTCACTAAATCTGGTCTCCCCGGACCCTGCATTCACTATATCTGATCTCCCCGGTGCCTGAATTCACTATATCTAGTTTCTCACAGTACACAGAACATGGAAATGCAATTATTTTACTAAATATAAACTGCTAAATACCTTTTCCCATCAGCCATTAGAGCAGTTGTGTGACTTCTATCAGTGTCCAGCTGAGCACTGGTTAAAGCTTGTAGGAGGAGTTTTCTTTCTGGTCTAGTAGGATGCAGAACCCCTGACCCTCTGTTTGAACATTGCTGATTGGCCCTGTGCTGATCACAAGAAAAAAAACAAACCTCTCTAGCAATACACACCAAACTAAGCATGTGCATGCCTACGGTTCAGTCTGGAGATAAGTGGTGGTCACTTAAAAAGGGGAGGTAACAGAGAAGACAGGATCAAACAGCCTTTTTACACAATGCAGAGGATTAACCCCTTAGGTTCCACAGTGAGTATAACAAGAATGCTTTACTACTTATACAGACTGATTGTATTGTTGTGGGTTTAGGAACACTTTCATTGTGGGCCGCATCAGCATTATGGTTGCCCTCAAAGGGTCAGTTGTATCTGTAAGACTATATAGATGTATTTACTCTTTATCATGTTACATAATTTCCTCTGCCCTGAAGCTGAAGGCATTTCCCTTAAAAATCAGCAGAGACCTTTTTCTTATTCTACTGGTCAAGTGCTTTCAGAAAATGTATGTGTAGTACCCTCCTAGTTTACCTCGGGGGAGCTAGAGTCCTGATTGTCAGTGAGGATGGCTGAGTAGCAGCCTGGGTTAATAGCCAGAATGTCTTATTGCATTCAAGAGCTGAGAAGCTATGCACGCTGGCCCCTCTGGAATTTCCCCCTGCTCTAAAGCTTTGGAGGAAGGCCCTAGAGGCAGTAGGTGGATCTGAGGAGTGGCTGGCTAGCATTCCTGAGGGGGTACAAGCAAATCCCCAAAAGAAGACTTGGCAAGGGGCTGGACACCCTTAAAAGTGCTGAAGCCTGCTCAGCTAAAGAGAGAGGTTGGGTGGAAGATAGAGAGGAAAATGTGAAGCTGAAGGCAGGAGACTGCGAGGAGTCCCAGTGGGATGGGGCCTACCTGCAGGCTTGGAACTGGAAAGGGAAAAGCTCAGAGGCTCACTGGCCCCCAGAGCGAGGACCATCTGTCTGGTAGGGAAGGGGCAGTCTAGCTGAAAAGGCCTGGAAGCAGCCAACAACCCACCAGCGGTACAGGAGAGAATCTGAGTGAGTACCCCTGCAATCCCTGGGTGGATAGGGGAAGGAGTACTGTGGTGGAAAACCAGATTTGCTAACTACCAGTGACTGTTCATCTCTTAAAGTGACAGGAACTGGATCCCCTGTTCAGGGATACCTCCAGATTGCTGGGTGAAGAGGAGAAGTTCATCTAGGGCAGTGGTTCTCAACCTTTCTAATGCCGCGACCCCTTAATACAGTTCCTCATGTTGTGGTGACCCCCAACCATAAAATTATTTTTGTTGCTACTTCATAACTGTATTTTTGCAGTGGGAGGAGTAGTGCCACATCATTGGTGTCAGTGGAAGGAGTAGTGCCCCATCACTGATGTCAGTGGGATGAATAGTGCCCCATCACTGGTGTCAGTGGGATGAATAGTGCCCCATCACTGGTGTCAGTGGGAGGAATAGTGCCCCATCACTGGTGTCAGTGGGAGGAATAGTGCCCCATCACTGGTGTCAGTGGGAGGAATAGTGCCCCATCACTGGTGTCAGTGGGAGGAATAGTGCCCCATCACTGGTGTCAGTGGGAGGAATAGTGCCCCATCGTTGGTGTCAGTGGGAGGAATAGTGCCCCATCGTTGGTGTCAGTGGGAGGAATAGTGCCCCATCGTTGGTGTCAGTGGGAAGAATAGTGCCCCATCATTGGTATCAGTGGGAGGAATAGTGCCCCATCGTTGGTATCAGTGGGAGGAATAGTGCCCCATCGTTGGTATCAGTGGGAGGAATAGTGCCCCATCGTTGGTATCAGTGGGAGGAATAGTGCCCCATCGTTGGTGTCAGTGGGAGGAATAGTGCCCCATCATTGGTGTCAGTGGGAGGAATAGTGCCCCATCATTGCTGTCAGTGGGAGGAATAGTGCCCCATCATTGCTGTCAGTGGGAGGAATAGTGCCCCATCATTGCTGTCAGTGGGAGGAATAGTGCCCCATCATTGGTGTCAGTGGGGGGAGTAGTGCCCCATCACTGGTGTCAGTGGGGGGAGTAGTGCCCCATCACTGGTGTCAGTGGGGGGAGTAGTGCCCCATCACTGGTGTCAGTGGGAGGAGTAGTGCCCCATCATTGGTGTCGGTGGGAGGAGTAGTGCCCCATCATTGGTGTCAGTGGGGGGAGTAGTGCCCCATCATTGGTGTCAGTGGGGGGAGTAGTGCCCCATCACTGGTGTCAGTGGGAGGAATAGTGCCCCATCACTGGTGTCAGTGGGAGGAATAGTGCCCCATCACTGGTGTCAGTGGGAGGAATAGTGCCCCATCACTGGTGTCAGTGGGAGGAATAGTGCCCCATCACTGGTGTCAGTGGGAGGAATAGTGCCCCATCGTTGGTGTCAGTGGGAGGAATAGTGCCCCATCGTTGGTGTCAGTGGGAGGAATAGTGCCCCATCGTTGGTATCAGTGGGAGGAATAGTGCCCCATCGTTGGTGTCAGTGGGAGGAATAGTGCCCCATCATTGGTATCAGTGGGAGGAATAGTGCCCCATCGTTGGTGTCAGTGGGAGGAATAGTGCCCCATCATTGGTGTCAGTGGGAGGAATAGTGCCCCATCATTGGTGTCAGTGGGAGGAATAGTGCCCCATCATTGGTGTCAGTGGGAGGAATAGTGCCCCATCATTGGTGTCAGTGGGAGGAATAGTGCCCCATCATTGGTGTCAGTGGGAGGAATAGTGCCCCATCATTGCTGTCAGTGGGAGGAATAGTGCCCCATCATTGGTGTCAGTGGGGGGAGTAGTGCCCCATCATTGGTGTCAGTGGGGGGAGTAGTGCCCCATCACGTGTGTCAGTGGGGGGAGTAGTGCCCCATCACTGGTGTCAGTGGGAGGAGTAGTGCCCCATCATTGGTGTCGGTGGGAGGAGTAGTGCCCCATCATTGGTGTCAGTGGGGGGAGTAGTGCCCCATCATTGGTGTCAGTGGGGGGAGTAGTGCCCCATCGTTGGTGTCAGTGGGAGGAATAGTGCCCCATCGTTGGTGTCAGTGGGAGGAATAGTGCCCCATCGTTGGTATCAGTGGGAGGAATAGTGCCCCATCGTTGGTGTCAGTGGGAGGAATAGTGCCCCATCATTGGTATCAGTGGGAGGAATAGTGCCCCATCGTTGGTGTCAGTGGGAGGAATAGTGCCCCATCATTGGTGTCAGTGGGAGGAATAGTGCCCCATCATTGGTGTCAGTGGGAGGAATAGTGCCCCATCATTGGTGTCAGTGGGAGGAATAGTGCCCCATCATTGGTGTCAGTGGGAGGAATAGTGCCCCATCATTGGTGTCAGTGGGAGGAATAGTGCCCCATCATTGCTGTCAGTGGGAGGAATAGTGCCCCATCATTGGTGTCAGTGGGGGGAATAGTGCCCCATCATTGGTGTCAGTGGGGGGAGTAGTGCCCCATCATTGGTGTCAGTGGGGGGAGTAGTGCCCCATCACTGGTGTCAGTGGGGGGAGTAGTGCCCCATCACTGGTGTCAGTGGGAGGAGTAGTGCCCCATCATTGGTGTCGGTGGGAGGAGTAGTGCCCCATCATTGGTGTCAGTGGGGGGAGTAGTGCCCCATCATTGGTGTCAGTGGGGGGAGTAGTGCCCCATCATTGGTGTCAGTGGGAGGAATAGTGCTCCATCACTGGTGTCAGTGGGGGGAGTAGTGCCCCATCACTGGTGTCAGTGGGGGGAGTAGTGCCCCATCACTGGTGTCAGTGGGAGTAGTGCCCCATCACTGGTGTCAGTGGGAGGAATAGTGCCACATCATTGGTGTCAGTGGGAGGAATAGTGCCCCATCATTGGTGTCAGTGGGAGGAATAGTGCCCCATCATTGGTGTCAGTGGGAGGAATAGTGTCCCATCATTGGTGTCAGTGGGAGGAATAGTGCCCCATCATTGATGTCAGTGTGGTGGAGGGGAGAATAGTGCCCCATCATTGGGGTCGGGGGGGGGGGGAATAGTGTCCCATCGTTGGTGTCAGTGGGGGGAGGAATAGTGCCCCATCATTGGTGTCAGTGGGAGGAATAGTGCCCCATCATTGATGTCAGTGTGGTGGAGGGGAGAATAGTGCCCCATCATTGGGGTCGGGGGGGGGGGGAAATAGTGTCCCATCGTTGGTGTCAGTGGGGGGGGGAAATAGTGTCCCATCGTTGGTGTCAGTGGGGGGAGGAATAGTGCCCCATCGTTGGTGTCAGTGGGGGGAGGAATAGTGCCCCATCGTTGGTGTCAGTGGGGGGAGGAATAGTGCCCCATCATTGGTGTCAGTGGG